ACTCTGGTCCTCTTGCCCCACAGGACAGCTCTCCACTAGGGCAAAGGCTGCCATCGCTGAGGAACGTGCACAAGTGCGCAGGCCAGGGCAGGCTCAAGCCTAGCACAGCATCCAAACAAGGAAACGCCACCCACTTCCAGGGTTCACAGCAGCCGGAGCGCACAAGCAGCCTGTAGCTCGGACTGACGCCAGGACCATCCAAGCACAGCCCCCAGCCTCCACAGGTGCCCAATTAGCCCTTCTGGTTCCAGCACTGCACTCCTTTGGAGCAACAGTGCTGATGCCTGGAGGACGAAAGAACACGCACTCAACACGAACAGAGCCAGGCTGGACCTTCCTCTAAGGGCTTCTACTCCAGCAATTTGGGACCTGACATCACTCGTGATAGGGTAGTGTTGGCAACTGATGAGTGAAGAAGACCCAGGTCACACCTCCCTTTGGGTCTGGCCCCTCCATGTCCAGCCCGACCTTCTACTAAGGTGATAGCTGCCAGCACACTGAGGTAAGATGTGACGTGTGTTCACTTAAAATCCAACTGTCCCATCAAAGTCACTGAGCACACACAGACCTTAGAGATGCTCCCAAATAAGCACTCCCCTTCAAGACCAGGATGGGTGACTGTTTCATCTAATTTCACAGAGACAGAGAAATCTTAAGCAATATGAACTTCTTTAAAATGAAGAACAAGGGAAAAAACCCTGAAAGAACAACTAATGAAACAAAAGTAAATAATTTACCATATAAAGAGTTCAAAGCATTAGTAATAAGAATGCTAACTGAACTACGGAAAATAATAAATGAACAGTGAAAATTTTAACAAGGATACATTTCTACTAACAGACAACAATCCAAGACTGAATGAGGAAAAAAAGATAATCTGAATAGCTGGACCACCAGTAGTAAAACTGAACCAGTAGTCAAAAAATATGCAGCAAAGAAAAGTCCAGGACCAGACAGCTTCAGAGAAATTCTACCAAATATACTAGCAAGAGCTAATACCTATCCTTCTCAAACTATCCCAAAAAACTGGAGAAGGAAACACTCCCAAGTTCATTCTACAGTAAGACCGCCATTATTACCCTGATACCAAAATGAGACAAACTAAAAAAAAAAAATTACAGCCCAATACCACTGATGAATATCAACACAAACATTCTCAAAAAATATTAGCAAACCAAATCCAACAATATGTTTAAAAGAATCATCCACCACAATCAAGTGGACCCTCTATTCCAGGGGTACAAGGACAGTTCAATATTCACATTAACAAAAGAAAAGACTAAAAACCACATGATCATTTTAATAGATGCAAGAAAAGCATTTAACAAAATCCAACACTCTTTCATGATAAAAAGTCCCACCAATGTTGTTCCTACCAAACTTGCAAAAATAAAACTCTGATAATACCAAGTATTGGCGAGAATGAGGAGCAATGGGAACTGTCATACACTCCTGGTAGAATGTGAATCAGGTATACAGGATGTGTGACAGAATCCACAAAAGCAAAAGATACATATTCTATGCTACATTCTTTCATAGGGGAAGGTTCTTAGAAAATACATACACACACATACAAACATATTTGCATAAAATACCCAGAAGATTACAAAAGAGATGAAAAACAGTTGCCTGAAAGGAGGGGACCTATGTTAGAGAATAAAGGACAGAGAGGTTAGAGGAAGACTGTTCATAATACTATTTTTCAACTTCTAAACTCAACCTATTAAGCATGGAAGATTTAATTATGATAAGGAGGTATGTTTTCAGCCTTGACACAAAGTTAGAGCTAGAAGTGACCTAATAATGGGAAAGGAAGGAATAAGTACATTAATAGTCCTACCTTACAAAGTGAGTTGTCAACAAAAAATACATGTTTTAGTACGCTACATAAATTGTAAAGGTAACAGAGGAACTAAAAATAATGATAAAACTACCAAAAACAAAAAAGAGGGGAAGGATTGATGGGGTAGTATAGGTTAACCAAAACTTCATTTCTCATCGCTGGAAGTCAAAAGACAACATCTAGAGTTGATAAACCAACAACAAAGTATACTATTCAAAAATATAAGAAACCATCTGAAAAGCTAAAAACAAATAATGACAAGATGAGGGGCAGCAGCTGCACTGCATTGAGAGTCATAAGGTAACTATCTGACTTTTAATCATGAATATATACGGACTCGATTAAAAAAAATAATTCCACTTAGAACATACACATCTAAGGACATAAGAACATTTACTTTACCAAGTACAAAATAATATAATACTGACTAAATCCTAGGTGGCTAAAATGACCAGCCAAAAGGAATTACTGAGATTATTGAATCCAAAGATGAAAATGAATACATCCACCACTTACTAAATGGTCATTTATTAAAAATCCAAGCCAAGCATTATGCATGGTATAGGCTAAAGTGGAAAACTTCGTAAGTTCTCCACACTTCTATTCCTAGTACCCTCCAATTTATCATTCTGGCACCACAGGTTGGTACTCTTATATCTTTAAGACATAAACTTAAATAAATTGCTCAACTCTTTGAAACGATGGTAATTAAAAATAAACAGAAGTGCTCACTTCAGCAGCACATTTACTAAAATTTAAGAATACAGGGAAGATGAGCATGGCCTCTGAGCAAGGACAACACACACACAAATTCATGAAGCGTTCCATATTTAAAAATAAAAATAAACAGCTAGTTAGGCTCCAAACATTTCTGATTGAGAAACTGACAAGATGTCCATCACAAGCAGGTGCCCACCTCAGGCAGACAGCCAACAACTTATTTTTAAGATAGATGAGTATGCAGAAAAGAGGCTTAAAAAAAAATCTACAAATTAAGAGAATAATCAATAACCTAGGCTTAAAGCTAGCCATAGGAATGTATCTTAAAAGACATTTAAAATAATAATATCCATACAGTCAAAGCTACAGTTTTTCCAGTAGTCATGTACAGATGTGAGAATTGGGCCATAAAGAAGGCTGAGTACCGATGAATGATGCCTTCAAATTGCGGTGCTCGAGAAGACTCTTGAGAGTCCCTTGGACAGCAAGGAGATCAAACCAGTTAATCTTAAAGAAAATCAACCCTGAATACTCATTGGAAGCACTAATGCTGAAGCTCCAATACTCCAGCCATCTGAAATGAAGAGCCAACTCACTGGAAAAGATCCTGAGGCTGGAAAGATTGAAGGCAACAGGAGAAGGGGGCAACAGAGGATGAGATGGTTAGACAGCATCACCAACTCAATGGACATAAATTTGAGCAAACTCTAGAAGCAGAGGACAGAGGAGCCTGACATGCTATAGTACGTGGGGTCGCAAAGAGTTAGACATGACTTAGTGACTGAGTAACAACAACAACCGAAAAGGCCAGAGACCAGGCTGATTACAGGTGCAGAACAGAGGAGTGTAAAAAAAAAGAAAAAAACTGAAATAATTCAAAAAAAGATTTCTGAAAGTGATCAAGGCTTCGGGGAGGTAGAGAGAACACCCTGGTATGGCGAAGGTGGGAATGGACTGAAGGTACAGCTTTCACAGAGCTCTTCAGTCAGATTCCATGTAGGAAACAGTAAGCTGATCAGATTGAGGAATTCAGTAGGAGAGCTCTGAGAAAAGCTAGCTAATATGAGGAACTGTAAATATTTTCTATCTCTATGATGAGATTTAGTCAGAAAACAGGAGTTAACCTGAAATTCCTAAGGAAAAAGTAACACAGGCCAGAAGAGTATCTCACAGCAACAAAATAATTACTTTACACAGACTGCTGAAGAAAGAAGAAGAAGAAACAACCCTTTAAATGTTGGCAATCATTTCTGATCTCCAGCATTATGATGAGGGGTAAGATTTATATCTAAGGGGGGCAATCAAAGTAAGAATCAAACTTCTGAATCTACCTAACTCCATTGGGTTCTTCACAGTTCCTCCCATTTTCTATGGTTAAGCAGTTTTCAGCAGGAAGTTCTAATTATTCAAGGGAATTTGAATTAGAATTTGTTTTTCCTATCTTAAATAGGAAATAGGGAGAAAAATTATTCCTACATGAAGAAAAGAACAAGGCCATTCGTTTTATAAGGTTTTGAACTCAGATCATTAGCACAGGAAAGACAGATGGAAATGATTACCTACTAATAGAGAACTCACCTTCCAGAAAAGCAAATTCATCCACAGCTTCTATTGCATTATCTGAAACACAAGGTAAAGGGACATCTGAATAACTTTGGTCACTTGGGCATCAATCTCTTACAAAAACACAACCCACACAGTGACCAGCATGAGGCTTTATGCAGTGAGGGAATTTAAAAAATTTGCTCCTTGCTCTCTTGAAATCCAAATCAACTCCACCACCAAATCCTACACATCAGCTATCTCTTTACAAGAGTAAGAAAAGGGACTTCCCTGGCCATCCAGTGGTTAATTAAGACTCTGGGCCCCAATGCAAGGGGCAAGGGTTCAATCCCCAGTCAGGGAACTAAAATTTTTTTAAAAAAAAAGAGTAAGAAAATAAGAAAAGCATGGGTAAATACTGTTCACAAAGGGAAACGTCTTTGCTCTGAAAGTTATCAGAGAAGAGTTTGGCTATATAGCAGGGCAAGTGAGATTAAGGTACATGAGTTTACAGATGTTCTAGTGTTACTNGGGGGGGGGGGGGGGGGGGTGGACTGTGAAAGGGAGGTTCTCAGGGAAGCTGAAGGTTTTCCCGGACTTCAAGAAGGTCTACTCCCTTTCCCCATCCCGCAATTGCTCAAGATGCATCCACCCCACTCACTCACTTGAGACTCCTACAAGTTCTGTCAGACTAGAGGTGCAAGTTATAAAGTCGCGTCCAGGCCCTCATGAAGAGGTAGATGTGTTAGCAAACCAGTACAACTACTGTATCTCTCTGTCTTCCCTTCCTAGACTCACCATCTCAGAATCCGCCCTAGCACCTTTCTCACCCCCCCGCCCTCAGAACACCTGGCCCTACGCTCCCGCCGCTCCCCAAACCACTACCAAAGGATCGCTAAGCCCCGCCCTTCGGAAGAGCCCCGAGCCCCGCCCGTCGCCACGCACCGCGGCCCCCCATCCCCGCCCCATTGTGCCCAAGCCGCACCGCGGCGCGTGCCAGAATGAAGATGGCTTCCTGTCCCGCGAGAGTCACGTCGGGGTCCGCCTTCACCAAGGCCTTCACTCGAGCCAGAGGCAGCCTCGAGAGACGAGCTCCGGGCGCACTCGTCGGGGCTGGGGGCTGCGGAGTGGTTGCGTCCCCACCGGTACCCTCCTCCTCCCGGGAAGCCCCGCTTCCAGGCGCCACCGCCGCCATCCCGGCCCTGAGCGTCCTGCGCGCGGCCGCCAACTGTGTGCGCGCAGGCGGCGCCGGCCCCTTTCCCGCGCGCGCTGGAAGCCACGCCCTCTAGGGACGCGTGACTCCGCCCCTCACGCCTCAGGGCGCTGCACCGAATTCTAGGCACCTGTCGAGTCTTACTGCACAAGTGTCACATCTTCTGGGGTCTGGGGATCTGTCTTACTGTGTCTTATGACTCTCACGCGCCATCTTGCCTCTTCTGAGAAACTTGATTGTAAAAGTAAATACAGCAATAATAGAAATATATGGGAGAAACTTGAATAAGTTTATATGCTACTGGAGGAGACTAAAAAAGAAGCAATAAAAATGTGGGAGGGAAAAGAAAAGTTAAGGACAATATTTTAACAATTCTTCCCCCTTTCTGTGATAAGACCTCATCTGTATCAGAGTCCAATAAGGAGAAACCACACAGAATTTGAACAGTAAAATTTAAAAATTCGTAACTATAATAGGGGATTGACTATTAAGGTGCAAAGACACAGAGGAATTGCATGTATGCTCCCACGCTGAGGTAGAAAAGCCAAGGATGAAATGAACACGAAAGAGCACCCCATCCCGCCAGAGCTGCGATTAAGGTCTTGTTTCGGAGGGCACAGCCGTGACTCCCTGAGCAGCAAAGTCGCTTAAGTGCCCCGTGGCTGGACTCATGGGAATTCACCTTCTGGGGTGCTTTGAAAACATGCCTAAGGAGAGGTGCTGCACACTGCTGGCCACTGTGCACCACAAAAACCTGTTCTCAAAAAGGCACAGTGGGACCAAGAAATGCTCCCTTTTGTCCTCCAATGCACGCTACTGAAATAGCATAAAATCATAATAATGTGGCTGAAGAGAAACCTTCCGACCTAGCCAGCAAGCAATGAAGGTGGATCTGGTACTAAGAAGCAATCGGTTGATAATGGCACACCAGTTCATCAGTTCAGTCACTCAACTCATGTCCAACTCTTGGTGACCCCATGTACTGCAGCATGCCAGGCCTCCCTGTCCATCATCAACTCCCAGAGCTTGCTCAAACTCATATCCATCGAGTCAGTGATGCCATCCAACCATCTGATCCTCTGTCCTCCTCTTCTCCTCCTGCCTTCAGTGTTTCCCAGCATCAGGATATTTTCCTATGAGTCACTTCTTTGCATCAGGTGGCCAAAGTAGTGGAGCTTCATTTTCAGCATCAGTCCCTCCAATGAATATTCAGGACTGATTTCCTTTAGAATTGACTGGTTTGATCTCCTTGCTGTCCAAGGAACTCTCAAGAGTCTTCTCCAGCACCACTTCTCCAGTTTAAAAGCATCAATTCTTGGGCACTCAGTCTTCTTTATGATTCAGTTCTCACATCTGTACATGACACATCAACCCGAGTTAAATCCAATCTTATGTCTATTCTACACTGACACTGACACAGCTGTATGCAGATTGAGAGAACAACAAAACGTAAACAATGAAAAACAAACTGACTGGTCTTACAAGTCTTATGGTCAGTCTCAAGTGAAAATCAGAGCAGCCAACAATCCCACCACATTCTGCTCACTTGCCTACTCACCAGATAAGTATTTGACACCTTCTTTCTACTCCTCAAACATATCACCCCTTCGCAATCCCTTGGCTGTCTCTACTGATGACCTCAGTTGCTATTTCACAGAGAAAATAGAAGCACTGAGATTGGAGCTTCTGCCCACTCTCATCTCCACACCTGCTCACCAAACAGTACCTACAGCCAGGTACTCTGCCTTCCCAGCTGTTACTAGACTGAAATGTCAGTGCTTCTCTCCAAGGCCATTCCCTCCACCTTCGACCATTAGGTTTCCAACCCTTCTTGCTCTCTCAAGGAAGTCGCTGTGGCATCTCTTCTCTCTCTTCCTCTCACTCTCTTTCTTTCCCTCTCCTAAAGCATCTACTTTTCCTCCTTCTGCTGAACCATTCCTGTTAGTAAGTGCATGCTAAGTCGCTTCAGTCATGTTCAACTCTTTGCGACCCTATGGACTGTAGCCCACCAGACTCCTCTGTCCATGGGATTCTCCAGGCAAGAATACTGGAGTGGGATGCTGTGTCCTCCTCCAGGGGATCTTCCCAACGCAGGGATCAAACCCGTGTCTCATGTCTCCTGCATTGGCAGGCAGGTTCATTACCATTAGCACCACCTGGAAAGCCCTCCTATTAGCATACATCTTTACTAAAAAATTTGCTCTTGACCCACACACCCCTCCAACTTCTGCCTCATTTCTTTGCTCTTATTTGAAAAAACAAAACAAAACAAACCTTTTGCAAACTTATCTATATTCATTATCTCCAATTTATCTTTTTTCGCTCCCTCTTGCACTTATTCCAGTGAAGTATTTAATACCACCATCCACTGAGATTGCATTTTCAGGATCATCAATGACCACGGCCACCCCTGGTGTACAGAAACTTGGAAAGATATTTTTTTCAGGGCTCTTGTCTACCTAAACAATTTGATCTTAAAATGTATTTCAAAAGCTATGGACCCTTGTGAAGTGCTAGTATTCCAAATCAGTGAAGATTTAGGCTCATCAATAGAGGATTTGTTTGTTGTATTAAGAAGGCACATAAAGACTCTTCATGGAGTCCAGGCACCAATTATTCCTGTTGAGGTGCAAGGAAACATCTATTTATGATGTCTAGGCTAATATTATATCTCTCGCAATGAGAAAAAGGCAGCAACACAATAGAAATAACAATCGCTGACAATGTCAGAACTCTCTGAAACCTGTTTGTATTGAAACAATATGGCTTTGGGTTTGGGGGTTTTGCCTGCTGTTTATGCCTCTGCAATCCTCTAATACCATTTATTTAATGCTGGTTGCATCATTACTCATGACGCTACAAACATAAATTGTGGCACCTATGCATACTCTCTCAGAGAGTGTCTACCAAAAAATGCAAACCTCTCCAAGCTTTATATACTTGAAAATATGAATGATAATCCAATTTATGATTATATTAAATTTTCTATTTGGATTTTTATAGTATTAATGTATAGCAATATATCTTGAAATCATCTTTTCTCTTGAATTCTTTAGGCTATAACCACTGCATTTTTAGAATATGATCATTTTAGTGTTGTCTACAGTTTTGCTTTCAAACACACAACCATCAAAAGGAAAGAGAGGTAAGGAGACATGAATGGTGCAAGAAAAACAGTCCCAGTAACACCAAAAATGCCCATTCCTTAGCCATAGCTGAAGAATGACCTGGGAAAGTATACTATCACCATATCATTTGGAGGCAAGAGAGGGCGTTGGTTGGAAGAGCCTGCTGTCATTGCAAAGCAATAGTCTTAAAAGCCCTCAGAGGAGTTATGCATAGTCACCCCTGGAGAACTCATGTGTGATGCGAAGCCTGATGGGGGCATGGGATGAAAGCTCCCAGTAGCAAGGGGGTATGCAGGGTAAAGGATGCCTGCCACTGTCCCCTACCTTTGAGAGCTAGAAATCAGAGATGACACTATGGCTGGAACACAGATGGGTGGGAGCTGAGGTGGGCACACACATGCAGCTCAGGTCACAATGTTGGCATGGATCATCAACAGCCCAGTGCCCGGTGTCTGATGAGACTCACCCAAATCAATGTGTCCGTGCCATTCTGGTGACCCAGTCTCACACAAAATCACATCAGCCAGTAGGAGAGATCCAGTTGTCAGGCTGCCCTCCCAGACCAGGGCCCAGCCCTCAGAGGACCCTGTGGGCACAAGTCTTGGGGCGCCTCAAGGCAACAGGTCAACCCTACACGTGGAGTAGTCTAGTGTGACTAAATGAGCCCTACTGGAAAGAGAGCAGATAACCCCACTTGTATTTTTTCCACTTGCACTGTTGCCTAAGCTTCTCTCCAAGGATCCTTATTTTTGTTCTAATTGATGTTACCTGTGTTCACTCTAAGGACAAGATACAAAATTCCTCATTGCCAAGAATTAATTTTTATAGTCTTTGGAGATACCCAATGATTCATCAGGAAGTTTGTTTTTCCAAAGATGCAGTTGAGTCACAGAATTTCCAATCTAGAAGTGATTTGGGATGTTCATAAAATCATAGACATCCAGATATGAAAGAGCTTTAACGTCGTTTATTGCTTTCAAACACACAACCATCAAAAGGAAAGAGAGGTAAGGAGACATGAATGGTGCAAGAAAAACAGTCCCAGTAACACCAAAAATGCCCATTCCTTAGCCATAGCTGAAGAATGACCTGGGAAAGTATACTATCACCATATCATTTGGAGGCAAGAGAGGGCGTTGGTTGGAAGAGCCTGCTGTCATTGCAAAGCAATAGTCTTAAAAGCCCTCAGAGGAGTTATGCATAGTCACCCCTGGAGAACTCATGTGTGATGCGAAGCCTGATGGGGGCATGGGATGAAAGCTCCCAGTAGCAAGGGGATATGCAGGGTAAAGGATGCCTGCCACTGTCCCATACCTTTGAGAGCTAGAAATCAGAGATGACACTATGACTGGAACACAGATGGGTGGGAGCTGAGGTGGGCACACACATGCAGCTCAGGTCACAATGTTGGCATGGATCATCAACAGCCCAGTGCTCGGTGTCTGATGACAGTCACCCAAATCAATGTGTCTGTGCCATTCTGGTGACCCAGTCTCACACAAAATCACATCAGCCAGTAGGAGAGATCCAGTTGTCAGGCTGCCCTCCCAGACCAGGGCCCAGCCCTCAGAGGACCCTGTGGGCACAAATCTTGGGGCGCCTCAAGGCAACAAGTCAACCCTACACGTGGAGTAGAGGTTTGGAGGGTGTCCTCAGGGGCAGAAAACAAGGATTGGGCTCACACAGATCCCTGTCTGAAGACCGGAGCTGTCATCTGTGCCCAACCTCTGGTCTACTGTGACTAAATGAGCCCTACTGGAAAGAGAGCAGATAACCCCACTTGTATTTTTTCAACTTGCACTGTTGCCTAAGCTTCTCTCCAAGGATCCTTATTTTTGTTCTAGACTTGATGTTACCTGTGTTCACACTAAGGACAAGATACAAAATTCCTCATTGCC